GGTTCTAGTCAGTGCAGTAATGTAAGAAAAATAAATAAAATGCAAAAGGATTGGGTAGGAAAAACAAGTCATTTTTTACATGGCTGTCTCTATAGAAAAAACAAAACAAAAGAAATCTGAAGACAAATATCTACATGCAAATATCAATCGTATTTCTTTATACTATCAACAAAGACTTAGAAAACATAGCAAAAGATATAATTTACAATAACAACAAAATATAAACTGTACCTAGAAATAAGCTACCCATGCAACTGAATGGTTCATTCCCTCACCTCTTCAAGTCCTTCCTCAAACTCCATCTTCTTAATTTGGCCTACTGTGACCACTCCATTTAAAACCACACCTCCCCCACCCCCAAATTCCAGATCAGTTTTATTTTTCTCTATTTCTTCCCACCTATCACCTTCTAACATACTTATAATTACTGTTTATTGCCCAACTCCCCAATGTCTTCTCTGTCCATGAACATGGATATTTTTGTCTGCTTTGTTTACTGTGGTATTCCTAGAACCTAGAACAGTGCCTGCTACATAGTAGATGCGCAATAAATATTTACTGAATGAATGAAAGCAATAAGTGTATGTAGACTTTACAGAGAAAATTAATTGAGAAAATTATAAACCTTTATTGAAAGGCTTTAAAGAAGATCTATATAAATGGAGAGATAAACCATATTCATAGATAGGAAGACTCAGTAGCATAAAGATGTGAATTCTCCTCCAAATTGATGTATAAGTTAACTGTACAGAACCCCCAAAGATGTGTGTGTGTGTGTGTGTGTGTGTGTTGGTGTGGAACTTTCTACATGGATTCTAAAATTTATATGGAAGCACAAAAGGCCAAAATAGTCAGTTCTTCCCTGAAGAACAAGAGAAGATGGGAACCTTACCCTACACGCTTGTCTGTATTATTTTTATATAGATAGAGTGATTCAAACAATGCCATGTTAGCACAGAGATTATCAAATAGATCAAGAGAATAAAACACAAGAGCTTAGAATCGGACACACAAATAGAAGGAAACTTGATTTAGGACATAGGTGGTACTGAAGCTCAGTAAGAAAGGATGAGTTATTTAATAAATGATACTAGAATAATTAGTGATTCATAAATAAAAATAATTACATTGATACCTTAATTCACACCATGCCCCCAAATTAGCTCCACATGGATTACTAACCTAAATGTACAAGGAAAAACTATGAAATCTTTAGAAGAAAATATAGGAGAATATCTTTATGACTCAGCATAGAGAAAGGTTTCTTAAACAAAATGCAGAATGAAACCCATGAGGAAAATATCGATAAATGCAACTACATTGAGTTAGTTGATATACACTTCCCTGACAAAGGATCAGTATCTAGGATCTATAAAGAATCATTAAAATCAATCATAATTCCTGGTGATTTCAGTATCAATGTAAATAGATAATTCTTCCACACATTCTTCTCTCCATTCCTTGAGTATCTCTCCTCCAATGACCTTCTCTCTACCCTCCCTTGGCCACACATTACAAATAAACTGAATTTCAAAAAAATCCTACATACAGACAACCCACTCCCTAACCACCAGCTCCAACCCCTTCTAGTACCTCAACTCTAGTAATTCTTGGCCCCATCAAAACCTATGTTCCATTCATCCTGCCTTCTCTTCACTCTCCCATAGTCCTCTCCTTTCTGAGCTTAAATTCCTTGTTCCATTTTTGTAAACACCCCTTGCTTACACTTTTCACTCTCTGGCCCTCTCATGTTTCATCGTATTCACATAGCAAACCCCTAACTCTGGCTATATGCAACCGCTCACCTGTTCTGCACCTGCACTTGTACAGCTCAGCAGGACTGGGGAAATTGCTCACTTTTAATTTATGACCACAGGTAATTCCCTGATGGTCCAGTGGTTAGGACGCGGTGCTTTCACTGCCATGGCCCCAGGTTCAATCTCTGGTTGGGGAACTAAGATCCCACGAGCCACGTGGCGTGGCCTCAAAAACATAAATTTTAAAAATAAATAAATTTATGACCACAGATCTTAGGTGGGCCCTTAGTGCCACTTGGCAATCACAGAACATTCCATGGTCCACTCACTCTCTTGGACAACTGTTTCATGCCCTAGTGTCTCCCTCTCCATCCTCATCCTCAACTGTTGACCTTGCTTCCTATTTCACTGAGAAAACAAGGCAATCAGAAAAGAACATCCGTAAGCTCCTATGTTGGATATTCCCATTTACCCATGTCCAGGTTCTCTATCTTCCCTGCTGCCTCCATGGATAACGTCTGTGCTCTCAGCTAAAGCCAGTCCTCCACGTGTGCAGGAGAAACCCTGCCCTTCGCTGATTAGAGGACATTGCTTCAGCCATTCTCCCTTCTAACGCTTGCATCATAATTTTCCATTTCCTACTGGGTTTTTGTCATCAGCATCTGAACAAGCTATATCTTTTTCTTGGCCTTACACTGTGCTCCTATCACCACCCTGTTCCATCCTGTTTCTTTGGTCTCTTTAGGGTGAAAGTCCAGAGTTCCTTTAGTCACTGTCTCTAATCTCTCTTCTCCCATTCTCTCTTAGACATACTCCTATCAGAATTCTGCCCCTTTTGCCACTGAAATGGCTCCTGTTGAGGTCACCAATGTCCCCCACATTGCTAAATCTAATGATTAACCCTTAGTCTTTTTATCATATCCATGAGCAGCATTTGATGCAGTTGACTATTGCCTCCTTTTGGGATAATTTTTCTCTCTAGGCTTCTGGGACTCCACTCCCCTGATTTTCCTTCTACTTTACTGGCAGCTGCTTCTCATTTTCCTTTGCTGGTTACACATCTCCATGACCTCTCAACATTGGACACCCCGGAATGCAGTTCTCGGACCTCTCATGTTTTCTTACAACACTCGTTCCCTCAATGATTTCATTCATTCAAATCTACATCTGTAGCCTGGACCTTCCCCTCGAGAGCCACACTCATGTGTTCAGCTCTTTTTCAACATCTCCACCTGGAGGTTTAGCAAGAACCTCAAATGTCATATGTCTCTCCTTCCATAACAAATCCTGTCAGTTCTGCCTATGAAGTGTATCCAGAATCCAACCACTTCTTACAAACTTCTCTATAACATTCCTTCTGTTGCAGCCTCCATCATCTCTCCTGGATTATTGTTATGGTTTCCTAACTCATCTCCCTGTCTCCACCCTTGCTTCCTGCGGGTCATCTTCAACACAGGAGCTAGAGTTAAAAACTTCTCAAAACATAAATCAGGTCATATCATTCTTCTCAAACACCCCCACTGGCTTCCATGTCATCTAGAATAAAAGTCAAAGTCCTTACAATGGTTTACAAGAATGGCCTACATGCAACCTACAAGGCCCTGCATGGTCTGGCCTTCCTCCTGCCCCACCCATTGTATCTCTGACATCTTCATCTCCTACTGGCCCCCTCATTCCAGTCACCTGGGCCTTCTTGCTGTTCCTAAAACACGACAAGTACACTCTTGCCAAGAACATTCTTCTCCCAGATTCATACTTGGCTCGCTCCTTTATTTCCTTCAGGTCTTGGCTCAAATGTCATAGTTTCAGTGAGGTCTTCCTTAAATACTCTAAAATTGCAGTAGCCCCTTCCTGGGCACTCTCTGATCTTTCCTGATGGCTTTCTTTTTCTCCTTAGCTGTTATTACCATCTAACATGCTGTACATTTTATTCAGTTAGTTTATGTTTATCTCTCCTACTAGATTGTAAGCCCATCGACACAAGACTTTTTGTCTGCGTTGGTCACTGCTTAATCCACAGCATATAGAAGAGACCCTGGCACAGGGTCCACATTAACAGTAGATGTTAACATTTAACAATAGATGTTAAAAAATTATTTGTTGAATGAATAAACAACATACTAATCGGCCAGAATACGGCAACAGGCATTCTCAAAATAGCTGGTACGAATATCAATTGGTATAATCTCTACAGAGGACAAATTGGCAGTAACTATCAAAAGTACAAATGCACATCTCCTTTGACCCAGAAATTCTGCTTCTAGTAATTTCCTTTATATAAATTCACACATGTGCTAAGTGACACATGGACAAAGTAATTCACGACAGCATATTTTATCCCTGAAAAAGAAGGAAAACAGCCAAAATGTCCAGCAATAGAGACTAAAGAAATTATAGTTCATCCATACAATGGAATATTTTGCAGTAGAAAAAAGAATAAGGAGACTGCTTGTGTCTGCATTTTCTTGCACAGACTATCTCAGGAAGGATACCCATGAAACTGGTGATAATGCTTGCTTATTTGGAGGGCAATGGATGAGTCAGCAGCAGCGGTGGGAGACTTTGCTGTCAACCCTCCTAAACTTGAATTTTAGTACATCGTGAATGGTTTAATGGTTTACTAAAAGGAGAACAAGGCAGGGTTTATGTTCCAATATGGAATGAGTTCTAAGATATATTGTTACAAATAAAAAGGTAAGTACGAAAGACTGTGTACAGTATGCTATACATAGGGGTGGGGCAGACATACTTTTCGTTATTTACTCTTTTATACTTTTCGAATTTTGTACCTTATATATGCATTTCCTATTCAAAAAGAAATAAAATAATTTTAAAACATCATGGTGGGAGAATGCATTTTCATATGCATCACCTTGACAATCCTATGATTGAAGCTTGCTAAGTATTTCCCTATTTTTTAAACAAAGGAAACAGACGATCAGAGAAGTCAAGTCAAACAGCACAGAGGCACCAGGCACCAGGACTAGAGCCCGCTTCCCTGCCAGGCCCTCCCAGCCCCTCTAGCCTCTACCACCCTCCACCCCTGCCCTCTCCAGCTCCTTCCCTCAGGACACACAACTCTTATGCCCAGCCCCAGAAGGTCTGCCACCAGGGGCTTCAGTCAGGGGACCGTTTCTCTCTGCTCAGAGTCACCAACAGGGTGGTGGGTGCCCCCGCACTCTGTGGCTGATCCCAGCCTACCCTGGCCTTGCAGCTGCCAGGCCCTCTTCCCCCGGTCTGTACCTGTCAATGATGACGGGGTCTGAGGGTGTCTCATTCCGGTTGCCACAGCTCTTCCGGTCACAGCACCGGCTAAAGGAAAGATGAGAAGGGAGGGAAGGAGGAAGGGGGTGAAGGAGAGGGAGATTACAGCACGTGGTGTGTGTGTGTGTGTGTGTGGCTCCGGGGTGAGGATGCTGATGTCCTGTCTCTGAGTATGGAATCCCTGGGCCAGAGGGGCTCACTCTCAGGGGCCTGGGGGAGACAGGCAGTGAGGGTCCTACACAGGGACCTGGAGAGCCCTTATCCCTGGGGATAAGGATGGCCAAGAAACCCTTGTCCCAAAGGCATGCTGCTCCTGGAGGATCCAGAAAAGGGCAGGCTGCTGACCACCTACTCTCTCTGTACACTTTTTATACAAGTAGAAAAGAGCTCCAATTGTAAGCATGAACCTCATGAATTATCACAAAGTGAGCCCACCCATGTAACCAGCACCCATACCAAGAAATACCATGTGACTAGCGCCCCAGAAGCCCCCTCATGCCTCCTCCTGGTCACTGCCCTTCCCAAGGGTAGCCACTGTCCCAACCGGATTTTTGAACACTATTTTCTTTTCCATGTATGAAGAGCTGCCTCGGAGGACCCTTCCTGACTGACATCTCCTGGTGAGCCCTTGCCTAGAAATGCCAAGCTCTGGGGTAATGGGGAAGGGGAGTCTAGCACTGTGTTCCCTCTTCCCCATCCTGCCTGCCCAGGGGGTGCCCTTAAGTTCACATAAGAGGCAGCAAAGTTTCCTCTTCCAGCTTCTGAGCTAACCCAGGAGGCCCAGGCCCTGCCCCCATCTCCCAGGGAGCCCTCCCCAGAGCTTTATTAGTTAAGCTTCCCAGTAGCAGCAGGAGGCCTCTCTTACAAAAACACTCGGAGAAGCCACATAAACAGGCCAGGCTAATGGGTCCTCAAGGACCCTCTCCTCAGCCAGAACTGTGCCCAGGGGCCTCACTCTTCCCTCATCACCCCCCACCCCCAGGCTTCCCTGGGGATCAGTGGGGAGGGGGTTGGTGGCAGTGGTAGGGGTCGGGGCAAGAGGCCAGGGGCAGGTGACCTAGCCCTTCTCACCTGCACATGATCTCGTGGGTGAGTAGCACGCGGCACATTTCGGGGTTCTTGTCCTGCCCCTCGTAGATGATGGCCTGGGGAAGGGGAAGTGCGCAGGCTGGAGGGGAAGGAGGCTCCTCTCAAGGCCAGGTGGAAGGGCAGCTGGGCCCTGCTCCCGGGGAAGAGTACGCCCTCCAACTCTCTCTGGGAGCCCAGGAATGCAAAGAGGGAGCTGGGAACCTGGCTTCCCAAACCAGTACCACTATCAGAATGGACAAGAGTGGCATGAGGTCTACAGATTCTGCCTGTCCACAGGCAGCTCTTTCCGGAGCCAGCTCTGCTCAGGGGCAGGGAGGTCCCCAGATCACCATGACTAAGGTCAGGCTGCCGGGAGGGCAGACACACTCCAACCTCCACGGTTCATCACAGTCTCTCCAGGCTGTCCCGCTGGCTCCTTGGCCCCTCTCCTCACCCCTATCACCTCCGCAGGCCAGGCCAGTGGCTCCCTCTTGGACTGCTGGATCAGCCACCCCCCCACCCCCCCACCCCCAGCCAGTCCCCCAGCCTCTCCTCCGCCCTGAAGCAAGGAGTGAGCTGCCCAAACCACACATTTGGCTTCCACCTTATAACCTCTGTGCCACGCAGCCATCCCTTATTTGTGGGTCCCTCTCTCTCCGGATGTTCTCCAACCCCTTCCACACTTGTTGACCATGCAATCCCACTTTGCCACTGCCTGGTCCGCCTCCCACACCATGGCGACCACAGGCTTCCTAGAAACACACCACTTCTTCCTCTGCCCTGGGATTGGGTGGGGGCTGCTGGAAGACTGTCTGTGTGGGAAAGCCCAAGTCTCCACCTCAAGTTGCAGGCCACTGATTTTCACATCTGAGACTCAGCCCTGCTCCTTTACCAGCGCACACAACCTCTCTGAAAAGCCTGAGGCTTGGGGCCCTGTGGCTGCACAGTCCGTCAAGGCTGACAAAGGTTTCAGTTGCCCCGAGCTCCTCATGCTGGTCCCTGAGCCTCCTTCTCTTGTCTTTTCAAGTCAGCAAGGTACTGAGGGCCTGCAGTGGAAGCTCTGGGGCCCCACTCAGTCCCCTCTCCTGGACCAGTGCACCCTTCCCCCAGCTGTGGGTAGCATTAGCTGCTAAGGGCTTTCTCTTGAGAACTGCTCTCAGCAGACAGGAGCTTGCTTCCCCTGAAAATGTCTGGAAGGTTACACTCTCCCCTTGGGAGTGGTCCCAGCCAGTAACTGACCAATACAGGGGACAGAATCCTGGCCTCCTTGCCTCAAGGGGGAACAACTCTGGTGCCATTCCTTCTCCAGGGCTCCTTGTGGATCAGGCTGAGGCTAGACTCCAGCTGAGACCACATCCTTGCTGAGCATCCCCTGCCCTGTCCTGCTTCTCCTCCCTCCCCTTCTAAGAGCTTCTTCCCTCCTCCCCTATAAACCATATGTACCTGAATCCCCATCTAGGCTGAACTTCTAGATAACAGGACCTAAGACAAAGTCGTTGAACAAATATTGTCTTTTTCTTGTCTAGAGGGCAAAAGCTACACATCCTCCTCCTGTGGACAGTGGTGAGAACTGTGGACAGCTAGACTGGTGAGGATGAAGGGCATGGGGGAAGTGGGGGCAGGGACAAGGGTGCTTGCTCAGACCACAGGGAGATGGGGGTCAGAGAAGGGGCTGGACAGGCCTGAGCATCCCCTGGGCTGGCTCACCTGCTTGGACACGGAGTCGATGAGACGCACATAGAGGTCCTGTTCTGTCCGAAGTCCTAAGGGTGGAAAGGCAGAGAGGGCTTGCTATTTGGGGAGCCCCTGTGGCTTCTGATGACTGAACACACTCCACACCTTTCCCTGCTGAAGCCAGGCCCCCTCTACCCTGACAGTGGGGCACCAAGTGTCACATGGTGCTGCAGTACCCAGTGGGCAGTGGGCCTCACTCACCGTTGTTATATACCAGCCGGAGGCGATAATGGATCCCGTTGTTTGTCTTTTCAGCCCCGGGCTCCTGCAGGGACAAGATACGGAGGATGCATGGTGCTCCCGGGGATCCTCCAGCCACCGCCCTCCCCCTGACTCCCTTCCCACCCAAACTTCCTCCCTCCCCCCTCCCTCCCATCCATTCTCCACCCCCTATCCATCATCTGCCCCAGTGGGAGGGGCTTCCCTGAAACCCTCCCCAGCCCCCCACCCTGTTCCTTCCCAGCAAGCCCATGAGCCTCTCACTCGGTCCTTCTCCACAAAGTCGATGAAAGCTGTGCGCTCCACCTCCACCGGCTGCCCCTGCCGGTCATACATGGCCAGCACGAAGTGGAAGAAGTTGGATTTCCTGAGGTTGGAGGGGGGCTGCTTCTCAAAATGTGCTCGTGCCAGGCCCACGCCACTGTGGGGAGGAAAGTTGCTGGGAAACCACTGGAAGCGCCCTCCAGAGAGAAAGACCCCGTCACCTCTGACCAGGTAGGTGGGCTGGCCAAGACTTGGCTCTGATGTGTCAAGAGTTTGGGCAAGAAATTGGATGGGCCCATTCCACCCTTGCCAGGGCCATCTCAGTTCTAGAAGAGGCCTCTCAGCCCTGAGGTCACCCCAGCCTGCTCCCATGGGAATAAGCAGCACAAGCACAGGTGACAACAGAGGCATCCCGGGCAGACTCCTTCCCAGACTTTTCCCTGGGCCTCACATTTTGGAAGGCTGATCTCTAAAACCAAATGAACAAGCAACCCATCTTACTGACCACAGGCTCCTGTGACTGCCCTTTAGGGCCTCAAGGGGAAGCTGGGAGGTTTTGGAATGAATTTCCCACTGTACCCCAGCTCCTGGCTATGTGCATGAGCCTACGGTATTGCCTGGGAGATGATGAAGTCCATCAGACTCTCAAGAGGCATTGAACTGGCTCAGGGCCACTAGTCTGGCCAGCCTGGACCCTGGGCTATGGCTGAAGGTGGGAATGTCCTCCCTAGGTATAGGGGGACCTGCCTCCATGCTTGGAGGAAGACACCACTGGCTCCCTTGGGCAGAAGGATCTTCTGGTCTGGCCTTGCTTTCTCCTGGCTCATCAGAAACCAGTCCCAGAAGCAAAGCCAGGGTGAGAGCAGGAGGAGGAGAAGAACCAAGGCCCTATTCACCAAATATTTCCTGAACCCCAATGATGTACCAAGCGCTGGCCACATGGCACCACATGGGGCCAGAGTGAAACATCTGGAAGGGGAGGGAAGACAGATACAGAGAGCTGCAACACAAGACAGAGTGGTGGGTGCCCCCTAAGAGATGTCACTATATAAAAAACGGTAAAAGCAAAGGAAAAACGATTAATTCTTTCTGTGTGTGATGAAGGGAAGACTTCACGGTGATGGTGGCCTTCCCCCTGGTCTTTGAGGAATGAATAGGAGCTCAACAGGGGCAGGAGACAAAAGGGCAGAACTAATAGCATAAGAAATGGCTGTAGGTATGAGGGTTAGTGTCACTGGACCACTTCAAAGACTGAAGTGAGGAGAGAAAAGGTTTTATTGGAAGTGCCAGACTATCCATGCATACAAAAACCAGGCCATGGAGTTTAGACTTTCTTCTCTGGGCCAAGGTCTTCCAAAGTGTGTTCTTTAGCTCTCTCATGGCTCCAGATCCTCATTCTATGAAAGAGTGCTATACCCACAACTGCTGGGAAATGCATACACAAGTGTATGTGGGGGGCCCTGGGACACCCTCCAGTAATGGACCCTCCTTGACCCGCTCAGGCCAGTGCTCCCCATGTGGTAGCGAGTCTCCAGGATGGTTCCCCATGATTCCTGCCTCCTGGTAGTCAGGTCCTTATATAGTCTCCTCCCATACTGTATCAGGATTGGTCTGTGTGGCCAATAGAATATGGCACAAGCGATAGCATACAATTTCTAAGGTTAGGTCATACAAGACACGTGGCTTCTGCCTTGTTCACTCTCTTGGATTAGTCACTCAGGGGGAAGCTGGCTGCTGTGTTGTGACGATACTCAAGCAGCCCTATGGAAGGTCCACGTGGAGAAGAACTGAACCCTCCTGCCAACAGCCGGCACGAACTGATCAGCTGTGTGAAGCCTGCCAGCCCCAGTCAAGCCTTCAGATCACTGAAGCCTCATAAGAAACCCTGAGCCAGAACTACCCAGCTACACTGCTCCCTGATTTCTAACTTTAAGAAAGTGTGTGAGATAATGAATGTTGTTTTACGTTGCTGAGTTTGGGGGTGATTTTTTTTTTATGTGGCAACAGGTAACTAACACGCCATGCTTACTTGACTACAGAGCATTTTGGTGGAGGGATGTGGTATGGGAAATATGACTAAAGGCCACCAGAAGGTTCTGGTCAGGCAGGGCTTAGAAGGTGCTGTAAGCAAGGAGGGCACAGTGTGGTAGAAAAGTAAGAGGCTGCTTCAGGGATGCAGAGGTGAGGATGAGAATGGTGGAACTGTCTTGAAAGCCATTTAGACCAGAGTCCCGTCATGGACATGCCACTGTGACAACATCTGCCATACTCATCACGACTTAATATTTTTCTTCGTATAATTTTAAATCAACTTACTCTTACTTGGCTTCTTGCAAAGCCATAATATCTGAAATGTCATGGGCTTCAGAAGCTTGTTGTGTTTTTACTCATACAGATTACAGTAAATAAACAATAAAATGAAAACCGTTCCTCCTCTTGAAAGCCTGCTCAGGAGCCTCAGTCGTCCATGTAAAATGCTAATTTTGGAGGCAGAAGTGACGGGTCTTGCTTGTTCCTTCCTGATCAAAATGAGGAGGGGGCCACCAACACCTTCTCTTCCCCACCAAAGGTTATTTCTACACGTTCCTTGCTCCAGGATCATCCTCCTCCCTCCTTCCTCGGTGTCCCTCTCTTCTCCTCAGCCTCAGGCTTACAGTCCAAAGTCCAGGCCTTGACCCTCCCGCTTCCCACTTGCCAAGAGGCAGGGAAGCCTGAAGACAGCTTTGATCACAGCAGGTCCCTGATTACTGTTGATGAATATGCTAATGAGGCAGCAACCCTGACTCCTCCCTCCAGCCCCCAGGACCAGCTTAGGGGCAGTGAGGCTCCCCAGGGACAGGACCACCTGGGGGTAGATAAGGTCAGAAGGAGATGGGCTGTGGGGCCATCCCAGATCACTCTGCCCTTTACTCTGTCATCTAGCCCAGGAGAGGTGCCTGGAAGCCTCTCAGGCAATGAGGAAAGAGCGTATAGAGAAAGAAAGAGGCCTTAACAGAGGAGGGGGTGGAGGCTGAGCGAGCACACAATCCCCTGGACCCCTCAACATACCCTATCTACACAGACACTCCTGTACTTCCCAGGTCAAGAGTCAATCAATAATGCTGAGCTTCCTCTCCCATCCATCCCTCTTGGCAAATACCAGTCAGTCCTGGGTCCTGGCTGCCTGGGGTTCCTACCAGGCTCCTAAGGACCAGACCTGGGAAGTCTGCCCTAAGCCCCAAGCCAAGCTCCCTTCACAGGGCCTGCCCTCTCAGCAGGAGGGGATTCCTAGGGAGAGTGGTTGGGGGGACCAGGGGAGGGGAAAGGGAGCAGGTATCCCTGCCTGGGGTCTGTGGACCAGTAGCCAGTGCTGCCAGCTGCAGGGCATCAAGGGGCTGCACTGTCCTACTCCACAGTGGGATCAGGCTCAATTCTACTTCCCTTGAGGCAGCCCAGCATCAGCCTCCATTCTCCACCTTGCTTAGTGGGTCTGAGGCACAATCACACACATCCACGCAAAGCAATGGGACAGAGGCGGCTAGTTTATAGCCTGGGACAGGGATCACTATCATGAATGACAGCAGAACAATATGACCCCAAGCAGACCAGGACAGGATGGCAGAATAGGCAAGACCCCTGCTGGGCATGCCCAGGACTGCTCCTGGTCTGCGAATGTCTCCAGTTTACCCTGTTCATACCCCTGTGAGACAAGTGAGAAGACCAAGGTGAAATGGAAAAGGTTTTGGTTTAAAGAAATCCTCAGGGCTTCCCTGGTGGCGCAGTGGTTGAGAGTCCACCTGCCGATGCAGGGGACACGGGTTCGTGCCCCGGTCCGGGAAGATCCCACATGCTGCGGAGCGGCTGGGCCCGTGAGCCATGGCCGCTGAGCCTGCGCGTCCGGAGCCTGTGCTCCGCAACGAGAGAGGCCACGACAGTGAGAGGCCCGCATAACGCAAGTAAATAAATAAATAAATAAAATAAAATAAAGAAATCCTCATATTTCCTATGAACACAGAGAAGGACATGAGAATTACAACAGCAGCTAGAGTGCCAGATGCAAGTCTGTCTGGACTTCTGGTTCCCCCAGGCACCTCCATGGCCTACCTGCCCGTGCAGTGGGTGACGAATCAGCATCCCTGAGCAGAGCTGCAAAGGGAGAGGGTGCGGAGGGGGAGGGGGGGACTTCTGCTCTTCTCCCCTTGGGAAGAGCTGATGCTCTTGTAATGAGAAAGCAAACCAAGATTAAAGAACAGAAAGAAAGAGACACAGAAATATGCTCAAACAGCTCAGAAGATAGACCCGGGCTGTGGAGAGGTCTGAGAGGCCTGCTGGGGCACCCTGGGAGAAGACATGTGCTCCCACAGTACCTTAGAGGCAGAGATGTGGATGAAGGCCAAGGTCTCTGATTCTGTGGTCTCCAAAGTGGGGTGGCCCATGACACCCACTGGGGTGTGGAGAGAAACTGCAAGGATGCTTATTGATAGGAATCCTTTATCTAGAAGAAGGGAGAGAGGCAGGAGGAGAGCGCCAGAAGTCTGGAGAGGCAAGTGTTTTATCTGGGTTTCCCCAGAAGCAGACCCTGAGACAAGGATTCATATGTGAACACTTTATGTGGGAGGTGTCCAGGAAACCTTGGCGGGTATGGGGAGTGAGAGAGAGAAGGAAAGGCAGTCCCTAACAGGTGCATTATCCATGAGTAACCACTGTGAGCAGCTGCAACTCAGCCGCCAGGGAGCTCTGGAAACAAGTCTAGAACATGTGCTTCAGCTAGTCAGAGGGCTGAGCAAGGGAGCTGGGGTCTTCATCGTCCAACTCCAGTCAGTCACTGGCTGAGGGCTTCTGGGGCGTCATCTCTCAGGTGCTTCTGGCCTGTTGTGCAGGTGGGTGGAGCAGGCTCTGGCCGTCTAAGAGTCTTAGGAGGCAGTTGCTGGCAGAGGAAGCAGACCCTTTCCCAAGGGTCCCCAGGGACATGGGTGGGGTAGCAACTACCAGCCATCCAGAGGCCTGTGGTGTGATGGAAGCCAGCAAAGCTACAGCCCAAGGGCCTGCGTGCAGCCTGGCAATATGCACGAGAACTGCCTCCCCTGGTGCGTGTATTGCTGGAGGCTATAATTCAGAAGCGTCTCATTCACTTAGCGTGATTAGTGCACAAAGCGTGCCACATACGCGCCTTTTCCAGGTAAGTGCAGCTGAGTGATGAAAGCAGCCGCATTAACCACTTTTGCAAGACTCCCAAATGATTTACACATCTCCCTGCTTTCTTAAAAAGACTGTTTTCAACAAAATGTTCAAAACACTTTCCTATCAATCCGGAGTGTGCTGAGGCGGTGGGCATGTGCTCCTGTAAAGAGCACGGATGTGGGAGGAGAAAGTGCTCATCTTCATATTTCCACCAGGGCCCACTCACCCCCTTCCCATCTTTTGAAATAGCCCCCAAATTAAAGGAGACTGGGACAGAAAAGCTTCGGTGTGCACAGCTATTTTTTTGGTTGGGGGACATCCGAGTATGGGTGTGTGTGGGCTTCCTGAGTACTGTGCTGGGAATCCAGGTTGAAGGTGACACCAAGGGCAACCTGACCTTCACAGCCTGAGTCATTCAGGTAACCTGTGCTTCAGAGTACAGGGGGATGCATATGGGGGCATCTGGGGGCTGCAGAGTTGTCTGGCTGCTATTGCTTGGCCACCCAGGAGTCCCTGGAGATGCTCCTTTTCGAGGCTGAGCAGGTTGCCCCAGGAACCTTCTTGCAGCAGCTGGACCTCGCCACAGCTGTCTAGGACAGAGGACGCCTCCCTCAGTCAGTCTCGGCTCTCGGGTCAGAAGGCCATTCATAAGTCTTTACATCCTTGATTAGGTACTTATTATAAGTGCTAGCAATTTAAAACAAGCATCTCAAATCCCACAGAGGACAATGGCCGAGACTGGAGCTTTGGCCTTCCCCCAGAGGCACCTTCAGGCCTTTGTCTCCCCTGCACCCCTCTGCCCTCTACTAAATGCTAACTCTTGCCTGTCTTGGCAGCCCAAGGTTCCGAGCAGTGCCTTGGCTTGGGCCTGATCCATCTTGGAATCTGGGATGCTGGGGAAATGGGGAGAAGCCCTGTTGTTATCAGCAGTTGGGGGAGGCTCCTTTTTGATCCCCCCTCCACCCTGGAGGTGGAAGGAGTAAAAGTGTGTATTTCCTGCATCTCATCCTTTGTCTCAGATTTCCCTACTGTCTCTGCTAAATCTAGATCTTCTTTTCCCCATCCTAGCATGGTTGCGTAAGTCCCACCTTCCTCTCCTCTGCATCCTCTCTTCCTCCAAGCATCCTACTGGCCGTAGCTCTCCCTGCAGGCATCCTTTGGGTCCCTGGGACTGCTGATAATCATCAAGCTGGGCCTGGCATTCCTGACTCCAGCCAAGATCTATTGGCCTAGCCCAGAGCCTGGGAAGATAAAAGCAGAGGCTCACTGGGGTGAACCCACCCCAACAATGCGACAGTGCAGGCAGGAGAACCTGGTGCCTAGAGGCAGCTGCCCAGAACCTGGGTCTAGAAGGGCCTGCCAGAGATGAGGCTTTGGGGCTGCTTCATATCCCCTGTCCCACTGCCCCAGCAGGGGCTCTGCTCACTTGCCCCAGGAAATTATCTCAGCCATCAGGTCCCTGGATGAGGGGGGAGGGGAGGATCTCACTAGCCAGCTTTCCCATGTTTCCTCTTGCTCTCAATTCTACCCAAAGACTGTCCACCCTCTTCTCTGTGCCCACCCCCCTCGCCACCCACCCACAGGCCTGCCTGCCAGGTCCCAGGCTGAGGAAGAGCTATTAATTATTAAAGCAAACAAAAGCATTTCCTAGCAGGGATGCTAGCCTGCTGCTGCTTACAGGAAACGCAGCCCCAGCTGGCTTCCCTCTCATGGCCTAGCTAGTGTTCTGGGACCAGCTCAAGGGGGAGGGCTAGCCTGGGTGCTCCAGGAGTCTCCCCAGGCTGGGAGTCACATCAGAAGGAGAGTAGGACTGCTTCTGTGCTGAGAGATAAAGTCCTGTTGGCCCAGGGTAGGCCAGGGATCCTTGTGCAGAGTTCCCCACCAGGAAGACCCTGCCAGCCTTCCCTCTTGCCTCCAGTGTATGGTATGCAGCCTCTCTTTTCTCCCTATCCCTCTTGCGCTCAGAACTTTCCTTCCTGTTGGCAGGCCCTCCCTCACTGATCTTAGCAGGCTCTGGGCTTTCTCCTCCTTCTCCACCTTCTGAAAAACCCTGGCGCTGTAAAGCTGGGCAGCAGCAGCTGCTCCAGTACCTGGTTCCTGGGGTCACAGGTAGTTCCCAACGTGGACAGCGGAGCCCAACAAAAACGGACTTAGTAACCTTCTAACACGCACTCCTGCTTCCTGCAGCAGATACTCATTACCCCCTATTGACTGCTTGAGCCTGGTGCTGTGGACACGAGGATGAATGAGCCACCATCCATGCCCTAAAGGAAGGTGTAGGCTGGCTGGGCAAGGAAGCCCAGGACAGGCAGGGCACAGCTGACTCTGGCCTGTGATAAGCATCCTTAGACAGCACTAAGAACTGCTCCCCTGGGCCGGATGGGAGGGCACAGAGAGGGAAGGTGCTGGGGGGGAGGGTTCCAGAGGTTGTAAGATTTTATTCAGTGGGTGTGTGGGTGCTGGGAGCAGGGGAACTGTTTCAAGAGACATTGTTGGATGCCAAGAGTCATACAGAGGCTGAGAGGAAGCTTGGGATCAGACTGTGATGGGCCTTGATTGCTGAGTATCTGGGAGGAAGTGTGTGTGGGGGGGGGGTCACTGAAGTTTTTAATTGGGGAGGGACACAATCAGAGAAGAGTTCTTTGGAAATGTTTCTTTGGCCCCTGGTGCATGGCAGACGGTTTGCGGGGCGGGGGGCGAGGTGGGAGGCTGGGACAGTGGGCTAGCAGGCTGAGGTGATACACTGGGGTTAACCTTCAAGCCAGGGAGGAAAGTCGTGGAGGGCAAGAGTGTGTTTTATGGTTACGAGCTGGCCGTGGGCACTGTGATTAAGAATAGGACCCAGAGGCACCGTCCGGAAGCCTTGACAAGCTGGCGGCTGTGGGGTGAAGGCAAAGAGGGCATCAAAGACAGCTGTCAGACCCCAAGCAACTTTGCAGGGAGTGTTCCAGGGCAAGTTCCTCCAAGACAGAGGGAGAGGAGCCTTCAGAGGTGGAAGAGGGGGGCGGGGCAGGGAAAGGAATTCCTGTCATTGTTGTTTTAGGATGAAAAGGCCCAAACAGAGGACTGATGGAGGATCAAGAACCAACGGATGAGATAATGACATCTCAGGAAGAATGAGAAAGAAGTACCTCCCACCTGCTCCCATCAGCAGGAGGTGCCCAGAGGCAACGAAACGTGTGGGGGCTCCCAATCTGTGTCCTGAGACAGAGAAGCCTCTGGACTTGGAGATGAGCAGCCCAGGCCTGAAGAAATTCCTCTCTTCAAACTGGGGAGGCCTTCTGAGTCCTGGTGATGCGGCCCTGGGGACTCAGACTGGACACCTCAACCCCACTCAAGACCTCTTCCCCATGTGCAGACAACAATCTCATGGGAAGAGCCTCATCGCCACACTTCCTGCACCCACACAGGCTACAAGGGCACTGCCTCCTTCCCATCGGCTTCCTGCTCATCAAACCTGCTGACAGGGACAGAGGGGAGCGTCAGAGAGAAATAGGAACCTTAAACCATGAGGCCCCACTGGAAAACTTCATCCTCTCTTACAAGGAGCTCTCACCACAAAGGCGGTGGTGGAGAAAAAGACAAAGAAATTGACCAACTCAAATTAAGTGAAAAACCAGAACCAAAAGAAAAACAAACAGGATACAGAATTGTATGTATAACACAGGAAAAAAATATGTTAATGGGAAGATGGGAAGGAAATACACTAAATTATTGACAGTAGCTATTTAGAGAGATGGGGTTTTGTTTTCTATTTTCATTTTTTTTCTAGAAAAGTTATATCATGAGTAAAAATATGGGTATTAATTCATAGGCAAGACCCTTTCTCTTCCTAAGAAGGTGAGCTCCAGAGAGAGGCCCTGGTGCTCCCTCTGGACAGTCATGAAAGCACAGGAATGCAGGAACACCATTCAGTTTGAACATGAAACAAGGTGTGTGTCTGTTAAGGGGTGAGGTTGGGGTTGGTGGTGGGGTGGTATCCCCTGAACAGGATTGGGGATGTGAATGTGTGGCTGGCATCCGGGTCTGGTCTGCCCTGGAAACCCCCCAGCAGAATCCCTTCCAGCTGCTGGACAATCAGCTGCTCAGACCTCTGGGAAGCCCAGCTCCCAAGTGTCCCATATGTCTGCAGAGGCAGCACCTCCCTAGTCCCAGACACTGAGAACTCCAGGTAGGATGTCTAACCTCCCCTCCCCTTGCTCACAACTGGGGATACAAAAAGCCCAGGTGCTGTGGGGGGCTGGTCAACGAACCATTATCCTTCCTTTCCAAATCCAGGAGTCCATCCCCCACCCAGGCTCCCTGCCCAGACTCCTGCAAAGGAGTCAGAGGAGATGGGTGTGGGTGCTGGGTTCCCAGGAACCCCCTGCCTTGGGTAGGACCCACCAGAAAAACACCTGGAGGGACCTGAGCGGCCCTGACCCATCCTCAGCCCCAATCATTCCACCAAGCCGACTGCCCACCTCATCTCTTCCCCACCAGCCGCTTCTCCAGCTCCACACATCCCCATCCTCCAACTCTGAGGGATGTGAGAAAGCAGAAAGGGGGCTGGGATTCGTGCCTTTCCTGGCCGAGATCTATGGAACTCGACAAGGAGGGGCACTTAACTGCCTGAGAAGGAGGGGTGAGCAGTTCCTTAACAGCTGGTGGCTGTGGGACTGCGGGCAGCCGGGAGACCTCCTCCTCTAGAGCCATGGACTGCTGGGCCAGCGAGCGGTAGTCAGAAATCAGAGCCGGGACATCCAGGAGTGGAGGCAGAAGCCCCGCCCCGGCCCGCCCCACATTCTCAGGAAGAAGCAGAGGCGCTCAGGGAGAGGTGGGCACAAGAGCTTGCCGGGACAGTGCAGAGTTGGGGCTCCCTCCAACCCCTCGCCCCAGCAGCTCAGCAAGCTGAGAGAAGGCGGCGCGGAGCCGTCCAACCCGAGCGCGCCCTGTCGCGTCCGAGCGCTTACCTCTGCGCCGCGGTGCTGGCGTCCAGGATGCCCGCGCCCTGCATCCAGGAGCGCACCGAGCCCAGGCCGGCGGGCAGCAGCGGCTCCTCCTTCAGGTTCAGCCCGCCGCGGGGCAGAGCGTCCTGCGCAGGAAACATAAGGGCGCGCAGTCGGTGGGCGCTCCCACAGCCGGGGATCCGGTCCCGCCGAGGCTGCGGGGCGTCTCAGCTCCGCCCGCCCGACGGCACCCGGCGCCTGCAGGAGCGCAGCGCAGCGCCAGTCCCGGCCGCTCAGTGCGCGCCAGCCTCCTGGGCGCTCCCTCGGAGAAAGCGGGTCCGCGAGCGCCGGCGCTGTCCCCTCCCCTCCCGGGGCGCGGGGCGGGGAGATGGAGGGATTTCCCCGCGGCCTGAGCGCCGGCGGGCTGACTGAGCGCGGGGCGGTGAGGGAGGGGAGCGGAGACGGCACCCGGTCCGCGCAGAGGCGCCCTAGAGGCGCGCTCTGGCGGCTGCCCAGGGCCGCGGTCGTCGGAGGGGGGGCCCGAGCACCCCTTGAACTGCCTCAGGCGAGGCGGGGGCGCGGGGCTGCCCGCCCTTTCCCCCTCGCCGCCCCCACCTCCCGCCCACCCGCCCGCGGCGCCGGCGCGGGACGCTGATTACCATCCAGGAGGAGGAGGCTGCGGGCGCGGAGCTTGGCGGCGGCGGCGGCGGCGACTGCGGCGGTAGCGGCGGCAGGAGCAGCAGCAGCCGTGCGTCCCGAGGAAAGGCAGGGGCAGCGCCGGGCCAGCAGACGCCTCCGCCGCCGGCGCCCCGCGTGCTCCGGCGCCCCGGCCCTGCCGCAGCCCCGGGCGGCAGCACCTGGAGCAGCAGTAGCAGCAGCCCGGCCGACTCCCCCCTGGGCCCGGTTCCCGCGCCGCCCCGCCGCGGCCGCCGCCGCCCGCCGCTCCCCGGGGCCTGGCCGCGGGCCCGGGCCATCCCGCCGCCGCCGCCACCGCCGCCGCTCCCGGGGGAGCGGGAGCCGAAGGCAGGGAGAGCGGGCGGGAGGAGGGATGGCGGGAGCTGGCGGGCCCAGGGGACTGGGGGCCGGGGGAGGCGGGGGCGGGGCGGCGCGGCCGGCCGAGGGGCGGCCAGGGACGTGACATCATCGGGGGAGGAGCGGCCGGGCCCGGGCCGCCGCGGCGGGGCGGACCCTGGCGAGTCGGTCGCCGGGGCTGGGGGCTGCGGCCTGCCCGAGGCCGCGGGAAGGAACGGGAGGGACCAGCGTGGGCCCGGGAGGCCCGGGCAACGAGCTGACTGGGCTGCGAGGCGGGGGAGCCCGGGCGAAGCCGGAGGAGCGAGCAGGGCCGCACTCAAGAAACCTCCGCCGCCTCCGGGTCGCCACTGGACGAAGTCCCGGCTTCTTCTCCACTCATCTTCGTCTCCCAAGTACCCGCCGTACTCTCCACGCCGACGCCCGGTTCCTGCACTTGCCGCTCATTTTGACGCCTTCAGGCTTTTACTCTTGATGTTCTTTGCTCGCCCCATTGGTCCTGTCCGCCTTCCCCTGACCTCGGTTTTACCTAAGCCTGGGACTCAAACCTTTCTCCCTTAGGCTGGGCCCCAGACGCGTCGAGCGCAGTCCCTGCATCCCCCATCCCTAGTCCAGTCCGTGGCTTGTCTAAAAACTAAAGCATTTTCGTTTCCAACCTGTGCCTTTCAGACACCTCTTGGTTTTTGATGCAAGTTGGATACTGAGTTAGGACTCACTTCCTCTTGTTCCCCAGCCAGAGAATCTTCCCTCTCAGATTTCATTCCTCTTAGTTCCCGGGCCAGAAATCATCTCGCCCTTGACCCGAGGGCTGAGCCGTTTCTGACCCTCTCCCCACATTCTGGCTTGGCGTGTCCTGACCAGGCTTTGAACAAGCCCAGAATGAATCCAGCACTTTCCTGCAGAACAGCATGGGGGTGGCCTACCCAGCCTGCTGCTTCATTTTCAGACACCCCTGGAATATCACTTTCCTGCCCCAGCTGACTCCCATCCTCTTTTGGGGGGCCTCCAAGTGTGCAGTTAGTGGTCCACCCCACATGGACCCAAATGAAGGTCCCAGGGCCACTGCTGGGCCTCCTACTACCCCAGAGGCACCCCCACCTCCTTTTCTGACCTATGCTCCCCTCCCCATCACCTGCTGTCCCTCCCACCCAGACTTCTCAAGGTCTCAGTTTTTACCCCAGGGATTATCAAAGGTAGTCTCTCCTTAAGGTGAATTCTTAATACCAGTCTTTTTCTCCATCTCCTTATCTGACTCTAAATCCTTGCTCCTCCCAGTGTGGTCCCTGGACCAGCAGCTTCAGCGTTAAGTGGGAGCTTGTCAGAAATGCAGAATCTTAGGCCCTGCCCAGTCCTGCTAAATCAGAGCCGACCTTGTACCATGATTCCATGTGATTTGCATGCACATTACATTTGAGAAGCAATGCTCTAGAGAAACCCCCCAATGCTGTTACATACTTGCTCCACCCCTCTCTCCAACCTTCAAACCTACCTCTGGCTCTCTAAAATTTCCAACAGACAGCCTACCTCTTATTTACTGGAGAGATTACAGGGAATCTTGGCAGAATCCTGCTGGCCTTCTCAGCCATCCATGTTTTTCCTCCTTTCTCAGTCTTCTCACCCATTCTTTTTTCCCCCTGCACCCAGAGAAGCATGTGGGCTCAGGGACCTCTTTGCTCAGTCCCTTCTTCTGCACCTCCTGATGTTGTCCCATGCAGTCTGTTCGTGTGTTGACACTCCTTTCCTCTGCTCAGACCTCCCCATTCCTAAAAGAACCCTCCCTTTGTCCCCGCCTCCTCCTCCTCCTACTTGTGCCACTCCTGTTTCTGAGAAAGTTCACAGGCGCACTCCGCCAAGGCTGCCTTGCCAGCCCCCAGCAAGCCACTCTTGAAGCCCTGTTGGTCTGGCTCCCTTCCAGTTCTGCCGCTGTTTGTTCCTCTCTCTCGGCCTCAGGCCCTCTGACCCCCGTGCAGCACTGGGCTCGGCGCACCTGCCTCCTCCACACACCTGGGAAGGCCATCCTGATGACCAGAGCACACCGTCTCTCGTCTTACCCCTGGGTGCGCCCCAGCTTGCTGTGTCCTGCTCCCTTCTCCTTTTCTTCTCTTAGAGAACTCAGGCTTTTCCACAGTCTCAGGGGACATCTTTGGGGAAATGATGTCCTAGTGTGGGCCTCCATCTGCTTCTGTCAGTCCTGAACATCCACTGGTGAGGACAGAGCTGTTCTTGACCCTTGGGGAGGAGGGGAGCACCAGCTTCCAGGGAGCGGCCCTCTCCCAAGTAGCTCCGCCCCTGAGTCGGGGCTGGGGTTTTTTCATCTCCACATGCCCAGCCACGTTCATGCCCATTCCCCACAAACCAGCTCTTCCTCCTGGCTTTCTGTGTCTGTCCATGACACCTCCTCCTGATGCCCACCAGGTTTGGGGCCCAGGAATTCATCTCTGATACTTTCCTTGCCTGCCCAATAGCCACCTCTTTGTCAAGGATTCTCCCTCCTTGTCTCAAGGATTCTCCCTCCTTGTCCTTCTTGTCCTTCTCTCTACCCCAGGGCCCACAGTGAATATCTTTAACAATGAATTTACTTGCCCTCCACTGGACTCCACCCTGGCTTGGAAGAGGAATCTGCCCCAGTCTGAGGACAGCCTCCTTAGCTATCTTCTTGCCCCCACCTGTCTACCTGCAACCACCCTCCATCCTCCTGCCAGTTTTTAAAAGCAAGCCATCACCTGCTTAGAAACTTCCAAGTGTCTCTCTTGGCTCCCCAAGTAGACATTTAGGGACTTAGTTTAGGGATATTCTAGGCCCTCTGATGCCGATCCAAACGTTCTTGCCAGCTTTCCCTCCATTCCCTTGCTGTGTGAGTCCCTTGCTTGCCTGACACAGAAGATCTACTGTTTTCCAAATGCAGACACAGGTCCCACACTCTCAACTCCGTGCCTCTAGTCTGGCTGTGCCCTCCAGCTGTAGTGCCCTCACTTTTGCAACACCTTTCTTCTCTGGGAGGCAACGGGGTCCACATTCTTTTCACGATGATTGAATGGCTTTGGTGTTGCAAGTCTTCATGGTTCTAGAAGCCTCTTCCTAAGGTAGATTTGGGGGATAGGTGCTCAGAATTAACCTGGGCAGAAAGGGGAGTCACTCAACCCAGAGATGGGCTCCTGACTTGTGTGGGTTTCTATCTTGTATTAACCACATGGACTAGAAAGAAACCAACCAGGATTGTGTTTGAGGCTTCCCAGGGCCTGCAGCCCCTGAGAAGGTCTTCTGGGTTAGAGCCGCTGAACCAATCGGCAAGGCCCTGGGTGATGAGAATACCAACTGGGCCCAGCAGGGCAAATTCTGGGTCAGCTTTTGGAGTCAGAGGTAAGTATCTCTGCTTTAGATCCAGGAAGTCTGTTTCTTGGAACTCCTTGTGTGTTTTTATTTTGTATTTTTTATCTTAGTTCCTTTGACAAAGTTCTCTTCTCAAACTGTTGTAGCTTCATGAGAAAGGGATTTGGGGGCCTGCTGTAGCTGTGTTCACAGAGAGCTGGAGGGGTGGTAGTGACAGATAGAGGATGCTGGGTTCAAGGCCACAGAGAATGCCAGTCCTTTCTGGCCCAGGCAGAGGCTCACCCCAGGTCACCAGTCCAGAGCCTCTGACCTCATGCTTCTCCATCATGGACATTTGTGCTCATACCACAGGAAGGGTTCTTGTCATGTGCCTGGTGCTAGAGAATAAGCAAAGCCTAAAACACAGGCTGTGTCCTTATGGGTACCACAGTGTGGTGGTGGGAGATGTGTAAACACTCAGTGTCACTCCAGAATGACCTGGGCTGATAAAGATGCAGGTGCAAATACTGGGACCAGCACAGAAGAAGGGCCTGAGCCTAAGAGGTGAGAAAGCGGTCTTGGGCAGAAGGATCAGCATCTGTAACGACTGGCAGAGCTGAATGAGTGGGTTTGCAGCACTTGCTTCAAGGTAGAAGCTTCTAGCACCTGGAGCATCATGCTTGTGCCTAGGATGCCATGCTGAGGAGCATGGAATTTTTCCTGTAGGCCTGGGCCTTAAAACAATATTTAAAAAATCAACAGAACTCTCTGTCTCTCTCTCCCCACCAAAGGGGGGTGCAGCACCATAGAAAACAAATCCAAA